TACACTCTTTTAAAGTGTCACATAGAGGGAAAAATGAGCCTTTCAAATGAAATATATTAAATCATTATCAGAGAATGTTGTAATTGCATGATGAAAATATCTGTACTGAACATACCCACATATAATTGGTGAATTGAAAGATACAAATACTCCTATAATGCTTTGATAAGCAACTAGTTACGAAGATTCTTTTCAGTTCACCTTGTAGACCAACAAATAAAACTACATCAAAGTAACTTCGATCAATCTTGAATTATTCGTAATAAATAAATTAGAAGAGGCTAACTTTAGTAAATATTTATAAGCAAAATAACCTCAAGTCTATATTGCAATCAGATTTCTAGTGAAAATATGTGTAAGTGGGTTTATTTTGAAAGGAAAAGTCCTACTCCCAATGTCATAACCAATTAAATTCTCCAGGTAATGACCCCATTTGCATAGTGAGCGGAACCCACAAGTGGGAATTTTAATGGGTACACCACCTGAGTGCAGTAATCGAGAGTGACACATCTTGAACTAGTTTTGTGCTTACCTCACTGAAAATTCTACTCAGATTATTTTGAATGTCAAGCTACAAGTCAAATTCCAAGATGATGGATTTGTTCTTTTTTAAGCACCAAGTTTGAATAAAAGAAATGTATTGCATATCTTTGCTTTAACTAATCTGTGTTTCTGTTTCTCCCCATTGCTTCATTTTCTTCAGTGATTGGAATTTAATTTTATTCATTAATTTGTGAATAATTAGATAAAAAGAAATAATGTCCTCAGCAGCTAAATTGCTTTTGGATTGCAATTTAATGTACTTTTACCAGAATATATATCCTATAGTTAAACTCATATTAACAGTTTACTAAAAGGTAATTGTGTAAATATGCCCAATTATTCTTTCTGATGATCTAACGAAGTCTAGTGTAGTGAGTATTCTGGGATATTTCACTTGTCCCTTACCCTGATGCCGATAAAACACACTTTCTGCAGATCTGATCAGAGAGGACTTGTCACCTGAAAGTGTTACTTCTAAGATATTCTCTGTATCTCTCGGGCACTATTCATGTCCTTGAAAGAACTGTGCACTCTGATTGAGGGATCATATGACGGCCACATTAAATTATATAATAAAGGAGATTTTAAAACTCTAAGAGTCAGACACATGATGAACTGTGCTTTCTAGGTTTTGAGGTGACATTTCAAAACCTCTTTTGTTTCACTCTAAGATTGCTTTCAGTACTGTTTGTAGATGTTTGACACTACTCAGCCACATCTGTAATTGGCATAGCATCCAGCAGACAGGCTCTGTACATCTTTACACTGCAACCTACCAAGTTAAGAAATGTATTGGTTCAATATAAAACAGCAGGCTGTTTTTAGACATAGTTACTAGTGCACAAGCTTTAATATGGCTTGGCTTCATCCTATAATGAGATCTTTTGGTTCCCTGCTCAACAGACTTTTATTCCTTTGGAAAAGGCTATGAACTATGTCAAGTGGCTCAGGTGCTTTTGTCCACCCTCTTTCTTGGCTTTGGAATGTAATTCCTTTGCTTCTACCCCTTTATGCATCAGACAGAACTTAAGAACCATTTTGATTTTTCAAGTTAAACTTGGGATTTTTTTGTTTGAATTTGGTTTTTTCTTTTTTCTTTTTCTTTTTTCTAAGAATGATTACTTTCTCAACTCAGTTTCACCAAAGAAGCTGCCTGGAAGTAAATACCTCATTGTAGAGCTATGCTTTGTCTTTGTCTTCAACAGATGTATCTTTAGCTCCAGGTGGCTAATGTATCAAAGGATGAGTTTCCTAAAATGGTTTCTCCACAGCCAGATAAACGATTCTGTGTTTGTATTTATCAAATAAAATAAGGGGAGCATCCCAGACAGAAATAATGCACAAACAACAGAAACGCGAGCTACTGCCCAACTGCGAGACACGGGACTACTTATTTGACAATTGGCTGCTTCTGAGCTTTAGTTGTGGCCTTTGTGGAAAATATGCTCTGTCCCAGTATAGCAAAAATAGTGCAGGACAGACAGGTCTCCCCCCCCTTAAAGGATACTGGTTTTTAGCTAGGATCTGCTGACTTTGCACTTCACCTCCAGATTAGCTACTGATATCATTAAAATTTGATCTTATAAGTAGTATTTTGAGACATCATCCTTTGTTTTTAAAGATTATGGTTTATTTATTCATTTATTTACTATTTATATGTGTATATGAGGGAGAGAGGCTGTATAAGTTTCCATGCACTATGTACATGCAGATACCAAGGGAGGCCAGAAGAGAGTGTCATATTCCCCGAAACTGGAGTTATAAAGGTAGTTATATTAGACTCCCGGAGCTCCACCAGGGGCCTAACTGTGGATCTCTGCATCCAGATTCCTCAGTCCTTGGATGGGGTTTCTGGCACGACTATTAGGGTGTTTGGCCATCCCATCACCAGAGTAGGTCAGTTCCGGCTGTCTCTCGACCATTGCCAGCAGTCTATTGTGGGGGTATTTTTGTGGATTTCTGTGGGCCTCTCTAGCACTTTGTTTCTTCCTTTTTTCATGTGATCTTCATTTACCATGGTCTCCTATTCCTTGTTCTCCCTCTCATGAGCAAGAATTGTTGAAACCAAGGTTGGATAAAGCACAGGGACAAATAGCCAAACGAATGGAAACACATGAACTATGAACCAAAAGCTGAGGGGCCCCCAACTGGATCAGGCCCTCTGAATAGGTGCGACAGTTGATTGGCTTGATCTGTTTGGGAGGCATCTAGGCAGTGGTACCAGGTCCTGTGCTCATTGCATGAGTTGGCTGTTTGAAACCTGGGGCTTATGCAGGGACGCTTGGCCCATTCTGGGAGGAGGGGACTGGACCTGCCTGGACTGAGTCTACCAGGTTGATCTCATTCCTCCGGGGAGGCTTTGCCCTGGAGGAGGTGGGAATGGGGGGGTGGGCTGGGGGGAAGGGGAGGGGGGCAGGAGCGGGGAGAACAAGGGAATCCATGGCTGATATGTAGAACTGAATGGTATTGTAAAATAAAATAAAAGGAAAAAAAAATAAAGGTAGTTATAAGTACCCTGATGTGGGCACCAGTAACCAAACCTAGATCCTTTTGAACATGGGTGTTCTGAAAAAGCAGGAACTGCTGTTAGCATTAAGCCATTTCTCCAGTCCCAGACACACAGATTTTTAAAGTAAAAGGTGCTGACACTATTCCCTCAGAAATTTGCGATGGGAAGATACATGGTAATTTAATGATCAGTAACTTTTTTTGCTAAACCAATTCCCATATTAGGGCTGTACCACAATGCCATTGTTTCCATAACTTTTTTTTTCTATTTTAAACCAAACCTCTAATAATAACCTTAGATAGTTAAGCAACAATGGAATCCTCGGTGGTGGAGTTAACAATGTCTTCCTCAGAGATGTCAATCTTCTTCCTTGGGTTGAAACTTCCTGAGCATCATGTCATTTCCTTAAGGTACCTAGTATCTCATCAAGCACATAGAAAACACTCACAGAGATGAACACTGTAACCAGTCCCCTGCAATAAGAAACACTTGGTTAAAAATGTAAGTAGATGCAGAGGAAACCCTAGCAATATATTAACGTTGTTTCAAAAAAGTTGGTATGTTACTGCCTTTGTGTAAGAGGAGAAGAAAAATGGTATTTGATGAAATCTTACTGTTTCTCAGATTAGATGAAGCAATCCTATGGAACTATAAATCACAAGTAATTGAAAGGAAGTTTTTGAATAGTGTTAAATTAAAAATAATCTTAACAGTGGGATTAATATACTGCTAAATACTAATTTTATATTAGTAATATTAGTAAATGATTGATTAGGAATATGGATAAACCTAAGCATTAAATAGTACTGCAAAAGGCAAGCCAGACAGTTCCTTGGCAGGAGCCTTGTTTGTTAGGCAGTGATGTCTGGTGTACAGAACTTATTTAGAGTCTAGAGCACGGAGTTTTTATGGATAGAGAATGGCAAATTATTACACAGGTTGTCTTGGCTACTCTTTGATCTATTCAGACAACACCTACTGTTCCAGTGAGGAAAATGGCTACAGTAACCCACTGTGAAGTCACAAAGTTATTTTGGGGGAGGGTATTGATACGAGGGGAGGGAGGGGAGATTGTGGTCCAGATGTATTGTATGAGAGAGGATAAAAAATGTAAAAACAAAACAAAACAAGACTTCTCATGAATAGTTCTACTACTGTTTTTGTTAAATCCCAACTCCAAAACATCTTCAAATATTTATCTTAGCTGTATTAGATAGAAAGACTTCTGACAATGGAGTTTTATGTAAAATTCATTAAAGGGGATACCTGATTTTACAACTTGGAATACTTGTGCTTGCTATTCAGAGTCAGCATATATAAAATAATTTCTTTAGTTTTGTAAATTAAAACGAATTCCTTAGGTAGACAAGTGAAATCAATCTATGGAAATGTGAATAGTAGTGGATTGTTCATGATGAATTCCAGCACTTGGGAGGCTGGGGAGGGGAACCGGTGTGAGGCTGAAGTTACCATGGGCTATATAGTGGAGTGCAAGCCAGCCCTGATTACTGATGAAATCTTATCTTAAAAAAGAAAGACAGAAGAAAACAGAGAGGGACGGATGAAAAGAGGAAGGGAGGAAAGGAGTAGGGGGAAAGAAAGAAGGGAGATGATAAGGAAGGGAGGGGGGGTTGGAGGAATGAAGGAAGGAAGAGCAGGAAAAAGGAAGCTTATCTTTTCCATGCTGTGAATATTCAAAAGAACACTGTATTTTGATAACATAGGTCGATGGCTTGTAGATAAAATATTCCAAATATTACTATGTTCATTAGTGGTCATGAGTTTTGTCATCTACATAGAAAGACTGGGAAAGGGAGACTAGGAAAATTTTCAGGAAGAAGTATAAAAGGGTAAAGAAATCCTTCATGTTTCACATTATCATCAAAATAATTTAAATATAAAGCAACTAATATATTAATTAGATATAAAAGGATCTTAAAGCACAATAAAGAGTTCATTTTTTTTAATTTTAAAATATCCAGGATAATACAGCTCCAGTTTGAAAATATGCCACATTTAAGAAGAGACTCAATGTCTAACTGTAAACTATAGCAATTAGTCTTGACAGCCATACGATTCAACAAAACACTACATATCAATATTCTAAAATATATTGAAACTGTTTTCACATTTGCCTATTTTTCTTTTGAATTATACAAGATGCCTTAAGGAATGGCTTGCCTGGCGTACAGAGCTGAAGAAAAGTCCTACATGTATAAGTATGGAAATTAACTTTTGGTATTCACTAATGTTCTCTATTGCAGAAAAACATTTCAAATGCACTATCATTTTCATTGCAACTCATATCGGGATATATTCGAGCATCAGACAAACCTATTGGTTAAACAGTCTAACAGGATATTGAGTCAAATATCCCAACAATCATAAAGAGGCTTATCAATAAACAAATGCTCTTCTCCATCCTATGACATAGGCACAAGCTAACGTTGGGTATATGGAAATATTAAGGTTCCCATTATATTTGACATAACAAATGAAGAAGAAGGCAGTTGTATATTAGCACTGTATTTAAGCCACATTTTAAAGTGTATGCATGCATAAATTGCACCAGAAGGGAGATTCACTTGTTTTTCTTTATCAAAGAATATTTAAAATAATAATTTAATTATAAGATAAGCATACTCTCAAAGGAAAAACATTGGAGACATTCTCATTCTTCATGTTTAAAAAAAAAAGCTCAGGTCTCCTAAAATCTAGTTTGGCTAAAGGCTTCCTAAAAATGCATCTTTTAAAAACAATCTGATATTCATCTGGAACTGTAAAGAACCACTAAATTACCAAATATACTTTCAAGAGCCTGCAAAGCATTAGTCAATGCAACCAAATTTTAAATCTGAAGAGAAAAAAAGAAAATCATATGGGAGGATGTATGTAAAACCAAACGCTCCCTTTCATAAGAGCTGACTCCATCACTATCCAGTCTTGTCACAGATATATATCTTTATACTTTTAGTATCTTTATAACCTGGCACATTGGCATTTTTTTTTTTTTTTGGTTTTTCGAGACAGGGTTTCTCTGTGTAGCTTTGCGCCTTTCCTGGAACTCACTCTGTAGCCCAGGCCGGCCTCGAACTCACAGAGATCCGCCTGCCTCTGCTTCCCAAGTGCTGGGATTAAAGGCGTGCGCCACCACGCCCGGCAACACATTGGCATTTTTTAACATACAATTGGGATGCTGTTATCTGCTGATGGTGTTAGACATCTGAGCTCCTCCTGTAGTGGATGCAAGACACACGTGCTTTTGAAATACAAGACTGTGGCTACAAGCCAACCAAAATAAATAGACCCCCCCCAAAAAAACAGTCCCACATAAAGAACCAAATCTTTCAAATATAAGTGAGCTTTGGAAAAACCCCAAATCAGAATACTAGGGTTTTTTTAATCTTGAAAAAAAAAACTCATTTAAATGAAAGTTGTTAAAACGTGTTCTACATTTTTGGTAAAATATAGTTATGTTAACAAGGTATTATGTTTTCATTAAAATTTATAACACTTAAATTATGTGTAGGAAAGTGCATATTTGCATTAGTTCTGATTTTATAGTTTTAAGAAAGCTGTGTTGTTGAAATGTGCAATGGAGGCACATTTTTTTTCACTTGTTCGGAACACAAACAGTTCAGGCCACTCACCTTAAACTTTTTCCTAAATTTAATTCATCTTAAGGCATCCGAAATGCCACATTCTCCTTCAAGCCTTCCTCAATAGCCTGTTCTTTGCTTCTGTTTCTTCCTATGCCCTCTTTCCTTTCCAGTCCTGCCACGAGCATGCCTTGGGATCTGGTTCATTCTCTATGGCTCCCACCCTGCCCTCCTCCACTACATTGCATGCTGCTCTGAATGACAGCAGCATGATCTTCCTCAGTGCCCTCTGGGTAGAACATTGGAGGTGAGAGCACACAAAACAGACCAACATGGAGAGTCCTGCATCTGTCTGCAGCTCTGCCCCGTATGTGTGCTTACTTAGAATAATGAATGTTCACTTTTAACCTCTAATAGATAAACATCAAAGATAAATGATCTGGCTTAAATACCTATTGAGCAATGTTGTGTTTAGAGCAAAGAGCTGCTGAGAATGATTAGGAGAAACACATATGTCAACAGAAAGAAGACAGACAACATTTGTGTGTGTGTTTGTGTATCAAAATATCTTCCAACTATTATCGTCTACAAAGAAGCTTCAGAAACCAGTTAGTTAAAACTTCACATATTAAACCATATAGATTTAGTGAAAGAAAAAGAATTTCAGAGATTACTTAAACATAATGAGTTAACAGTGCAAACACTGAGTTGCTTCATGAGAATCTTACCATGTGCTTTTCTTTCCCCTACAAGAAATATTGTAAAATGTCTCCAGTTTTAATACAAACAAAAGATAAATCTTTATGACGGAAAACAGATGCCACAGCATTCCATACAGATTTCTAAACAGTCTGAGGATTCACAACAGGCATCCATGATGCCACAGTCCATGTCACAAGGGCAGTTGCAGTCATCGCCCATCTCGTCACCACAGCAGCAGCAGCAGGCTTCGGAGGTGCAGATGCCGCAGGAAGCTTGTCCCAGGACAATATTGCAGAGGGTCAGGAATTCACAGAACAAGCACGCCAGGATACAGTGGACACAACAGTCTTCATTCACAGGCCAGAGGAGACCACATAGTGGAGAAAAAGGGGACACAAAATACATATGTCATCCAGAGAGTAGGTAAAAACTGGTCCAAGTTACAGTCAAATGATACCCAGCCCTAGACTTCTGTTGTTGATTGTGAGCCAGATGTCCAACAAGGAGCTTGGGCTAAATTCTAGATAAGTGACCTCTAGATGTAGATACTGGGCTGGAAAAGTGATCTGTGGTTGTCCGCATGACTGTGCATGTGTGTTGGATTATCACTGTAACCCACTGTGTCACAGCTCTTGATTCCAGGTACCACTTTTCTGTGTGTCTTACCCATTGTTCCTACAGCCTACTGCTCTTAGTAACATTGAGCTGAAATACATTTATTAAATAGAAAGTTCATTCATTTGTTCCACACATAGGCTTCACAATTGGAAAGAAAAAAGGAAATATTAGACATATTAATCACTAATTCAGAACTTAAAGTAGCATGTATTAAACCATGATCTGCTGTGGGATGTTAATGTATGTCCTGTGGGAGCCCTTCTTGTGTTCCTTGTGGTGTTACCCAGCAGGTTTGCATAGAGGATGATTAGGACCATGGGCCTGAGTGCAGGTGTCTGAGATGGTCTGCACTTGGCTGTACTGGGGGATGGTCTGTATG